AAATGGCGGGGAATTGTTGCCTTCTGTAGCTTACACGGGAGCCCAGGACCGACAACATGGAAAAAGCGGCAAGAGCAGAGTTTGCGGCGGAAGCGTGAGCAGCGTTTGCGGCGGAAGCTGTGTGGCTCTGTTCATGATGGCCAAGAAATGGCAGGAATTGATTAGATGAAAGAGTAGATAGAAAGAGGAGAGGACATTCGAAGTGGATTCATAGTACCAGGAGACAGACTGTGCACCCGTAGCTTTCACGGAGGGAGGAGCGAGTGATGACACACCCAGAAAAACCCCCGAGAATGTTTTTGCCCCATCATGCACTGGGAGCTTAACCCACAATTCCAATGGGCGGCAGAGACTGCGGGAACTGTGGGATAGCTACCACAGTGCACCACTCCGACATTCGATGCTAGCCTCAGTACTGTGGACGCACTCTGCCAAATTCACGCGCTTTAGTGGGGACACACAACATTGAATGTATGAACTCGATTCTGGAAATTTAAATAAAATAACTTTGAATTAATTTTGTACTGTAGACGTACCCTAAGTTTGTGGAGGCCTTACTACAAGATCAAAGGTGGAGATAGTTTGACTTCAGCTCCCCTTTACACCTTCCCCTAGCTTGATACCTAACATTTTGAGAGTAAAAGTTCTGTAGTCACCTTTGTTTTAGCATGTAAGGATATGCACTGCTGCCTCATTTTGAGGCATTTGGATATCCCAGGTCAGTGCTTTGGGGTTAGCTACCCAGCTGTTTTCAGAAATCAAACCCTGGGCAGCAGATTTTTGTTTTAAAAATTTACTTTCTTGGCACCCTGCAGCGCCAAGCTCAGGTCAGGCGAATGCTCTCTCCTCCTGGCTGTGGGCCCTCCCTTTCACTAACCTGTCAACTCAAATCCAGGCTGACAAGAAAGGGAGGCTTGGCTGAAATTAACCAACCCCAGCCAACCTATACAGAGCGCCCTTCCCAATGAGTAGAGGGCTACTGGCTCACATACAAACCCTAAGCCCTCTGCTGAAAAGGCTTGGAGGGGGAGGGCATTTAATCAGGGCCAGGGGAGGTTCTGCCGTCACAGCCAGCCCCCCTTAAATGGGTAGAAATCGGGACCCTCAGTTAGACAAACAGCAAAGTTTATACAATTGAGGTTTCAAGTATCAGGGGGTAGCCGTGTTAGTCTGTATCTACAAAAACAACAAGGAGTCTGGTGGCACCTTAAAGACTAACAGATTTATTTGGGCATAAGCTTTCGTGAGTAAAAACCTCACTTCTTCGGATGCATAGAGTGAAAGTTACAGATGCAGGCATACATATACTGACACATGGAGAGCAGGGAGTTACTTCACAAGTGGAGAACCAGTGTTTGTAAATCCTTCTCTGCCACAATCTCTCTGGATCAAAATGTTGTAATTAAAAGCATAACAAAACAAAACGACCACAGTTGCAATAACATGGCACTGCTTTAAAAATTAAACACACATGATTAAAAGGGGGAATATTCATTAGCCCCAAAGCAAAGGGTCCTTCTGACATTTGGCAGGTCATAGCCCCAGCACCTTTGGGCAGTGCTTAATTTGTGCCAGGACTGAGGGCAGCTGAGCCCTCGCACCTCTTTCATCACAAATTAAGCACTGGGCTTACCTAAACCTGCAAAATATCCTCATCCCACTGCAGCCCAGGTCAGCTGAGGTTGGTTAGTTTGGAAATTTTATTTAGTGACATTTTTTACTCCTTTTGAGTGCTTAAAGAGCTACATCTAAGGCAGGGGCAGCCAACCTGAGCCTGAGAAGGACCAGAATTTACCAGACTCTAGCTTCAGAAGTTATCACAGTCAAGTTCCAGTGACCATGCCTGCCATATTATTTATCTGGGAAAGAATAGGGGAGGGGCAGCGACCACCGCTGCCCCCCTCCACCCTCTCTGGCCAGGCCCCCCCACATACCTCTTGTAATCAGACAAATCGGCAGCAGCTGAGGAT